TCTTTCGGGGTAGAGGATTCATTGTCGAGAAAGGGCGCTGCGAAACGCTTCCATACCGCATCTGCGTTGAATGGGAACATGAACTCGATTGTTGAGCCGGCGAGAAGCGGTGTAAGGATGGCATTTACAGTTCCGTGAATATGATGAAGCGGGAGGACGTGGAGGAGATGATCCGAGGGTGAGTAGTTCCAGGCCTCAACGAGGGAGCGTGATTGCGCTGTCAAGACGGATTGGGGGAGCAGTACTCCTTTCTGAGCCGAGACTTTAGCACAGAGAACCATTGAAGCATCATGAGCAGACTTACGGGTTTATTGGTTGTTCCTGAAGTATACAACATCATACCAGCTTCACCAGCATCGGTATCGCTTAGTTGCACCTTGTCATGACTACTCCCACCTTGATGCTTCTGAAGTTCTACATGCGCCGGCTGGGTTGTGAGCTCAGTCGCAAGAACTTCCTTGGCTTTGGATGCAAACTTTGGCGAGGAGACTAGTAATGAAGCTTCACTCTGGTTGAGAATGTATTGTAGTTCTGGCGCAGGGAATGCAGGCGATAGAGGCACGGCGATAGATCGCGCAGCCATTGCGGCCAAGAGTGTTACTATACAAGCACAGGTCAATGGCCGTCGCAATGCGATATCGCGGGATTACACCATGAGCTCACCTACGTAGTCATAACTATTCTCAACCAAGAACGCAATGCGCTCGCCATTGAGGTCCTCACGACCAGCAGCTTCGGCCAGCCTGTCCCGTGCGCTACTAACATCACCTAGAAGCTCTCCATACTTGAAGGTCCGACCGGAAATGGAGTGGATAACAGCTTTCGAATCTGGATCATGTTGTGCAACAGCTTCGAAGAGCGGTAAGCGTGGTAAGGTCGAGAGCATTCTAGCAGCGGGACGGAGGGTAATGAAGGAAGCGGAGGTAATAGCAGACGGGCGCCGGATGGCGGAGGTGACGAGATGTCGGAGGAGCGACATGACGACCGAAGCGCCGGGGTTTGGCGACAAGGATTCAAGAATTAGAAGAGGCCAATCCGGAGTCTCTGCTGTGCAGACTGGAACTCTGAATGCTACGTTGAGGTGTGGTTCAACGGCGCATTTGCCGAGGCATGCACTGGGGAGGGGGGAAGAAAGGAGGAGACAGGATTTAGGGATTGACGATCCCGCTGAAGCATGAGCATGAGTTAATTGAAGAAGCGACAGCTGAATTTAGAAATGGAGTTGCGTGCGTGCGTTGTGAAGCAAAAGCTCCAACGACATGCTGTGCTAAAGTGGGTTGGCTCTTTGACGTAAATGGGGTCAAGTCTTCGGCCCACGGTCCGGACGGACGGCCGTCTTCCCCGGAGGTACGTACCCTTTAGAAGCCGCGCCGAACAGTGTTTGAGGAGCTAGCAGAAAGTAAAGGTGCACATCTTGTGAGGGGAGAGAGTGAAAAGGGATTTGAAGGTGAAGCCAATAAGCAGCGCCTCTTTTGCTTACGGACGAGTATCGGCAGCTAGAGATGCGTCCGCGTGTGCTTTTAGCTGGGAGGCTTATTAAGGAACCGTTCGACTGCAATGCAACACAAGCGTTGTACATGTACGTACGTAGGTACGTATGTATCCGTCCTGGCCCAACAGTTGAGATGAAAGTACAGCACAGTACTTCTTCCTGTCCTGAGACCTGAGTCGAGTGGGAGACAGGGAAGACACTGACTGGTTTGTTGTGCTGGGCCGTTATGGTTGAACGCTGGCCTCATCAACAACTCACAGGTCAAAGACGAATACGTGAATGAGTGGAGGCATATTTGACATCTTTTCTTCTTTTTCTTGTCTCTAAATAAACCCCGGACCTTAACTTTTAACGCTACCTAACGTTGACTACCTTACCTATGTATGGGGCCATCCACGAGACCGCTATCGCATCGCACCAGATCCCGCCTGTTTGGGCCCGTACCTACAGCAAAGCTCCAACAGCTCCAGTGACGAGATCCACTGTGTATGCTGTCAAGTCTGCAGCCGGGGTGTGTGGTATGTATATGTCATTGGGATGTATAGTAACGCTGCTAGTCTAGTAGGTAGGTTTGATGGTCTACCATGAGTAAAATGTTGACTCTCTTGCTTTGTCGTGGCATTCTACCATTTGCAATGATCAGACTGGTCAGATAAGCAAGCAAGAGAAAAGAGAGAGAGAGAGAGAGAGAGAGAGAGAGAGAGAGAGAGAGAGAGAGTCACGGAGAGACATACACACATAGAAAAGAGAGGGAACAGGGGTTCGTAGTTCGTAACCCTTGTTCCTGGCTTCACCGCTCTAGAAGCCAGGCGGTCAGGGCCAGCCGACGCCCGACCCAACCGTCTGGACGGACACGCAGATTGGCGGCTGATCATTTGCTAAAAAGAGGCTTTCAGGGGTGTAGCACTGTAGGGATGTGATGCGATGTGATGGATCGAAAAACTTGTCCGCCACTTTGGCTCATGGAAAGACGGTAAAAATGCAATTATGTACAGTACCAGATGAGATGCCCCGCGCTTTTCACGGTACAGTAGAAGGAATAACGAACATGTTTAGAAGGGCCTGTATGTACCTACCTTACAGTACCTACCTTACCTTAGATTAGTACCTACTGTACTGTACATACATGTCTCTGTGACCTTAGTTGGTGGCTTTTTTGTCTTTGCTTGCTTCTGCTTGCTTGCTTGTTCCTTTTTGCTTGTTGTTTCCTACACCGACTTCACACCGAAACGGGATAACGGCTCCCTGAGTTGTCAATTTCACAAATCACAATCAGCGTATGCGTTTTTGTTTTTTTCACGAAAGACCTAGTTAACGTGTTCCGCCACTTTTAGATACCTGCTTCAGAATGTACTGTACTGTACATGCCTAGTCCAAGCTTCTTTAGATCCCATATCCTGAAACGTATATCAGTTTGTCCTGTCCCGCCTCTCCCAACTTGTATTTCCAACCTTTCACTTCCCGTCCCGTCTCGTCTGCAAAGTCTCTTGTTTGCTATTTTTCTCGCTTTTGACTTCCTGTTTCTGCTTTCAGTTGTCACGTCACGTCACAGTCACAGTGTGCTCAGCCAGGTTGTGGTTATTTTGGGGGCAGCGATAGCCAGAGCCAGAGCCAGACCGATAACCTAAAGCTTAAAGAGGCGGACAAACCGACAACTCGGGAACCTCATTAAAAAAACCTACTTCACCTCCCTCACAAGCTCCCACCAGCCAAAGGCCAACCAGAGCCTTTCGTCTTGCCCTGTCGATCCATTACCGCTCCACTTGGGATCCCGACAAGAAAGATTCTATTCTTATATCGCCCGCGAATTCCGAGTTGGCCTCGACTCAATTCGTTTTTTAAATAGTCGCATCTGTATCGCCTCTGTCGACACTGTCTAGTTCCAGTCGACATTGCGCAATTTGTACCTGGACGTCGCTACGTTCTTCTATTCTCAGACCGCCATACCTCATGTTTCGACGATACGCGCTCGGCTTTTCGAGCGTCCAGCGACAGCTCTCAACCATGAGCAACTCTAGCACTCCTGTTGAGGATCTTATTCGAGCAAAGGTGATTTCTCAGTGCGCACATTCGAAGAAACCACCCACTGACTGACTATTGCCTTTAGATCACCGCAGCCTTCAACCCCCAAACTCTCGAGATCTACAATGACTCTCATCTTCACTCCCACCACAAGGCCATGGAACACACTACCTCTAGCGAGACACACTTTCGGTAAGAATTGCGCTCTTTGTCACCGTCAACCGACTTTTGTGCAACCTCCTTTTCTCATCTCATCTCAATTTGGAATCATATCATGTCGCCTCATCTCATCTCATCTCATCTCATCCCATCCCATCCCGCGTGACACTCTTGTCATGCAATGCAGTCTCTTGTACCCCATACTCACTCACACCCTTCCTCACTCACCCACACCGTTCTTCTGCACATACCCCGGTCAACCCAGCTTCGCAATCAAGATGCAATGCATACTAACACGTGACAGCGTGGTCATAACCTCCGACGCTTTCAACTCCAAGATGCAGCCTGCCCGTCACCGCATGGTCTACGCCCTTCTCCGCGATGAGATGGCCCAGGAGAACGGCATCCACGCCCTTCAGCTGCGCACCATGACTCCCGAGGAAGAAGCCCGCCAAAGGAAGAAGAAGGAAGACGAAGCCGCTGCCCGTGCCGCCCGAGCTGAAGCTGAGGAAGAGTGAAAACATCGCTCTCTTCGCCGGCTCAAAAGAAAAGACACGAAAACAAATCAAAATCATAATGACCGCTAATGACAGGATGACGACTTCAAGGCTTAATAACACCGGGATTTCTTTTTTTTACCCCTACTCTCAGCAAAACCAAAAACATCACCAATTTGGGATCAGCAGAAAAAGAAAAGGCACAAAGGCGAAAAAGACCAACGTCGAAAAGGGATGGGCAGCGAGAGTAGTTCGTGCCACGGAGTGAAGACACAAACAAAATTGATTGGGACCAAAAAATTGAAACAAGATTGTATGATACCCCCCTTCGTGGAAATGAGACGACGACTGGCAGTGGGGGCGCAGATAAAATCTTGTTCTTGTTACACGGAATGATGGGAGAAATGAAGTTGAGTATCTTGACGAGGAAAGGCAACTGGACACCAAGGACTCTATTTCTTTTCTAATACTTCTCTCATCTTCTGCATCATCGCCATGCTGTCAGTTGATTAATCAAGCCAGGTTCTCAGTCGAACCAGCTACTTAGCTTACCATAGATATGTTGCCCACGCACAATAGACTGTTCTTTCCGCCACCGAATCAATCTCCTTTCATACAATTGAGTCTATGGACCTTTCATGGCCTGTAATACTTGATGATATAATAATATACAATGATGGGGATGTTGCTGACGGCATTTCTGCAGATTCAACAACAATTTTGGGTATCAAATATAATAAAAAACAAACGCCTTAGCCTCTCCGAAAGTTTCGATCGTCAACATGACTATCGCTTGATCTCGATCCTTGCGCCTTTCCCGATCCACGATTCTATTCAAACCGGCCACTGCTGCTTCGACGATCTTGCGACCCTGTCCCTTTCGATTTTCTGAAATGCTCTCGAAGCTTTTCAAGATCTTTTGCCGAGCGTTTCTTTGGTGTTGCCTTCCGTAGGTCCTCGGACATTCTTTTGAAATACTGTGCAGGTCGAGGTGCCGTCGACTTGATTGCTGAGCCTCCTATAGTAGATGGTGGTAACATTGAGGTTTGTGGCATTTGGGGTGAGGTGGGCGGAGGAGGCTGAGTCAAGATCTCTTGAACTCGTGAGGACTGAACAGGCCTTCTCTCGGAAACAGGGCTCCGTCGTCTGATGTTCGCTTGTACAGGAGTGATGGGCTTCGCTGTTGGCACAGGCTTCGAGACTATATCCAAATCATTCGTTGATGCCAATGATGGCCTTCCTTTGCTGGAAGTTGAAGGAGGCGCAGACGGAATCTCAGGGAGGTCGATTTCCATATCGTCCTCGATGGTTGCAATTGGCTGTGGTGACTCAACGCTTTCCCTCTCTGAAGAATGTTGAGATGGTGGGGAAACCGAACGCTGGCTGTCGTCCTCATCGAATCCACCTTCGTCTTCTGAGCTTGTATATATCATTAACTCATCACCGCCAGCATCATCTTCGCTTTTCTTGGATACTAGCTCATTCGCCCGTGCGAACTCCTCCGGGTACGACCTGAGGATATGGCTCAAGTTACCACTGTTCACAAGATATTTATTATATATCAAGGGCCCTTTTTGCTGATTGAACCACTTGATGCCAACCATAGGTTCCATACGGGAGCGTTTGACGTACTCCCCATAAGAGCACGGGTAAGCTCGGATGAATTCGTCATAGAGGCAGTCTCGAAGCTGCTTCCTTGGACGTAGGTAGTTGAGGTATACACATGCAAAAATGAAGTTGGCCTTGGTCCCGGGCAACTTGTCACCCCCGTTTTCACCGGGGTAGTCTGGATACTGCTGCACAAATGCTTCGTAGGGTTCCAGAGGAGCGCCTGGCGCTATAAGTGGCGCAGGAGCAGGAGACCTTTCTGTCATCGTTTGATCATTCACTTGCGGTTGTGAATTCGTTGCTGCTGTCGTCTTTGACGAACTCATCTGTGACGAAGCGGTCGGCTGTTGTATGGTCTTGCTCTCATCACTTGGCTTGCTCTCGTCAATACCGTCGACAACCGGACGATCCGCAGTTGATCTATGAAAGTTGGTTGAGGGAACAACTTCCTCTATACGGTCCATTGTTTCATCTTCCTTCATCTCGATTGACTCTCTGATGTCTTTGACGGACTCTTGTGTCCAGGGTATACCCGTGAATGGAATAATAGAATCGGATGATGTTGGCATGGAATCGTCCACGACTTTTGGGGGCATTATAGTCGGCGGCAGACGGTCTTTTTCGTTACAACCTTTCCTCCTCCGACCCAAACTGTCAAAATCGATTGGCTTGAACCTTAATCGACGAGTTTTCGGGCTTGCACTCCCGCGAATATTGCTTGCGGATACCGTATTCGGCACCACCGTTGGAGCTGTGTTGCTCGGTTGAGCGCATGGCGGTGTAGCCATGGTCCTGTTGGTGGAAAGCGGAGACGGTGCAATCGGTTTCGACCGCACTGCCGTTTTATTGACGGAGCCATTGTGAAGAGGCTGAGCATCGGGAATCCGTGTTTCTAAGTCGTCTTCAGTTTCCCCAGAAGAAGGTGGATTCTCAAGGATTGGGTTTGAAATCGGCCGCTGTGGGTGTCGGGAGCCTGGCCCTGGTTTTGGTGTTTCGTGGACAATGGATGACTGGGTGTTGTGGTCAACTATGGCCACCGCTATACAACCTGCGTCTTTTGAGGGAGCGCGCTCTGGCGTAGGAGGCCAGGATACAGCACGCTCAGGGGATGATTGTGGAGGTTTCGCATGGTCGGATCTAGGTGTACTCGTTATGCCATTACGTTGCCGTTTGTTGAGTGGTGATGATATGGGGCTCCGATTGTGCTTTTTCGAGATCGGAGTACGCTCTTGAATTGTGTGTTTGTTAGCAATATACGTTGCTTTCACTGTCTCAAGGACGTGTCCTGGAAGATGCGAAAGGCCGTGGGGCGTATTCTCTAGCTCGACAGCCCACGAGTCTGGTCTTTCAAGTAGTGCTCTCTGGTCAGACGGAATGTTTGTGACGCGGTTTCGGTTGAAAAGCTCCGTGATGTCCCGATCAGGGGACGATTTGGGAGACATTGGGATGCGAAAGATAGCGCACAACCGGTCACGATGTATGGATGTTACATGGGAGGCTGCGATAAAGAATCTGTGCGACGGGGCGAAGAGATCGAGAGAAGGTGTGCGGCAAGGATAGGATTTTCGAGACGTACGACGTATACTATAGATGAATGGTGGGTTTCCTTCTGCAGATAGAAAGTTTTGTGCGAGATAACAATGGACCTCTTAGAGTGAAGCTTGAGTGAAACTGTGAAATGCTTTCTCAAGAGCTAGAGGTCTATCGAATCGAAACGAAATTCAGCGCGACGCGACGGGTAATTTTGGGCCGTGTTCGCAGCCTGCGGGGCTAGGGGGGGAAAGAAAACTCAGGACCGCGATCCTAAATGATAAAAATATTTAGCTAGTAAAGCCTAAGCTTAGGATAACCTTTACTGAGTTTATTTTGACACCTCATATCAAGGTCCATTGTTTTCTTGCTCCCCGAGGCGGGGTCCCAGGTTGTAAGGTGTGGTAGGCGGCGGATGGCTCGTGCTTGATCAGCGCCAAGTCATCGGTACTCGAAGGTTTTACTCCGTAGTTTACTTGTGCTCAGAGGCTCAGATTGGTGATCTCGATACCTACTTAGACATCAACTGGAAATACGTACTCAAGATGAAGGAGGCGAGATTATAGTGATGTTATAGGGGATATTAAGCGAGCTTCAAGCAACATAGTCAACTGAGAGAGAGTAGCATATTGCTTTGGAATGGTCATCAAGACATAATCAACTCATGCCAACGGCGACTGTTCCACAACAGCAAAAAAGTAACCCAACCGAGACCTGCATGTACCGGTGACCCCCATGTCGTTAACAGTCGAGGCTAGGGGAGGAAAGAAAACCCAGCCCTTGATGGTAGATGACAAAAGTAATTAGATAGCCTAGTCTAAATTTAGTACGCCTTTCGCTGTGGTTATTTTGGCACCCTATGTCAAAGTCCAATGTTTTCTTCCTCCCCGAGGGGCCCTGGCTTCAGGCTTCGGCTGCCTTGCAAGGGTCTGACGCCATCACGCATTCAAACACCCATTTCAGATGCCCAAAGGTTGTTCTCGACGTTGGGATCTTCACCACGTACAGCAGTGATTAGCTGTGCGGGACAGCATATTCCTCCTGCGCCGCAGCATCCAGCTGATGCTCTTTCGTCATTTTGCTTCCTGTCTCTTGCCCTATCCGCCATTAGAGCCTGTCTGAACTACCTACCTTAACCTTAGCCCGCTCCGTTTTGTCTTTTCCAATACGAGAGAGACCCCAACCTTTCTTGCATTCTCGTCTATCCACAACAGCTTCACCGATCAGCGAAACCCTGAAGATCTACCTGGACTTCTCCGCACCACTCGCCGCTTCCATCCTCCATTCTCCATCCGTCAACGAAGTGCTTACCCATTCCTTTAAAGTTCGTCGGATCACCATGTTGTTGATATCTAACTCTCGAACTGTGGTTGCTGCGTTTGCTTGAGCAACTCGAAGCGGACAACCGTCACATGCATTGAGTCTTAGACTTCTAAGGTCTTTCTGTTGACGATCGCCGTGCGTCCGCATACCGACCTCCAACTTCATTACCCAAGTCGCTTCGAGTTTTTATACGCTGGGTCTGCCAGTCCATTCTCAGAATATCCACGCTCTCAACATGTCACGGCCCAGATCCGGCTCCATGGCATCGACAAGCTCTCCCATCCGTAACCGCCGCGATTCTATCAACTCGATTTCTACAGGGCAACTTGCTCATGCCCTAGACAAGATACACACATCCGCTAGCCAGTGTGATTCCCTTACCACCTTTAACGACTTCGCACCGCCCCCTGTAGCAGCACCAACCTCAGAAAACAAAGGAATAGCAGGAGACCTAGTCCAACAAGGCTTCAGTGGACTCTATAGTCGTTTGAGGGAGGCTGTAGGTGGCGGGGGCGCCTCCAAATCACCCCAGGAGCAAACATTGGGAGAAAGGTCAGAGCCTCCCTCCAAAAGAACCTCGATTGTTGCCAATCATGGCTCGAAGGCCTCCATCGGCTCGCTCAGTCGAGTCGACACCGGCGCCTCACTGTCCACTTCCTCGTCTCAGGTCATACCTAACGATGGGGCATCTACAAGTCAAAGTGGCGGCACTATCGAACCTCGACCGCAAGCACAGTCATCTAAGCCATCGAGTATCAGCCTGATGTCTAACCAGAAGTCCAACCCTACGAACCGTCAAAGCTTTTCTAAAAAAGCACCCAGCTCTATCGCTGCTGACCCTACGATCGCCCCTGTTACGGTACACAGAGATCCTAGTCATACCACCGTCCGCACTGAGGACAGTGGCGGCGTCGGATCGAGCCGAAAGAGTATCAGCAGCCGAGCAGATTTGCAAGCGCATCTAACGACGACTGAATCATCGGCTAGTCTGTACGACATGAAGGATGGTAAGCTGCCGCCCAGGTCTAAGCGTGAGGATACCTCCAGTATCGACGAAAGTATCAAAAGTCCGACAAGTCCCAGGAGTACACACCACCGTACATCTTCACTGCAGACCCGAGGTCTTCGTAGCCCTTCAGTCACCTCATCTTTACTGTCACCCGATAGTGTAAGAAGGAAGCCTGCCGTTATCGATCGAATCAGCCGGTCGAGATCCCCTGGAGGCCAAAACTCGAGAGATTCCTCACTGGACAGGGGAACCGCTGAGCCTAGCCGCGTCAGCACATCTGCTCATGATTCTGTTTGCCACGATTCCTTCTCTAATAATCCAAAACCACAAAAGATGGCTTCGGGCGATTTCAGAATTCCCGGCACTGTCACGAGTAGTGAAGAAGCCTCTGAACAGGTGAATGCACAGCTCACTCGCATGCGCAAGCAGGTTTTGAGCAAGGAATTCTGGATGAAAGATGATACTGTCAAGGAGTGTTTCCTCTGTCAGACGCCGTTCAGCGCATTCAGGAGAAAACACCATTGCAGAACCTGCGGCTGCATCTTTGATTCAAAGTGTACCACTGTAATCTCAGGCGAGAAGTTCGGTGTGCAAGGTTCGCTACGCGTTTGTAAGCGATGTCTTGAAGTAATCACCAGACGATTCGACGGAAGTGGTTCAGAGGACTCTGGGGATGAACAATCGTTCATGCCAAGATTCTTTGGCGCAAATCATGCGAAGAGCCTTAGCAACGCGAGCCAATCTAAGCCAAGAGATAACGAATCTGGAGTTGCCTCCGAGGGATCAGAAGACTCGAGACCTGTATCAAGACCTGTGACGACACCAATGATGGCTATACCTGCAACCCGCCGCCTTGGAGAATCTCGGACTGCAGCCATTCTGGAGATCGATGCGCCACAATTGAGCAGGCCAGGCTCTTCACGATCTCTTAAATCACTAAATGCAAGGCCACATTCTTCTGCAGGCCATAAACGACATCACTCCAAACATGCTGGCTTCCTAAACCGTTTTAAACCTGCACCTGAAGAGAGAGCACCTTTCAGACGTGGCATTGATGATGAGAGCGCTAAGAAGCCAAAGTTTCCTGCCTTCCACGACGATAATATCATCGACCCGGAGCTTGCCGACTACATGTCCGATGAGTCAAGTGAAGATGAACAAATGAGCCTGTTTACCACAATGACAGGCGACTTGCAACCCGGAAGCCTTGGTGACGACAAGTCAGAACTTACACCATACGTAAATGCTAATAGAAAGTATCGCCATAGGGCAGGCGAAAAGAGCATCAGCGGTATGAGCTTCGTGAGTAGAGGTGGTCTCGATGAGCTGCCTGGAAGTCTGGGCGGATATCGTCGGCCACCAAGGCGACGGAACACTAGCAATGTTAGTGGCAGTATGCATCACTTGCCATCACCACGCCCAAAGTCCGCCGTATTCAAGGGTCCTTCTCAGTCCTCAGAACTGCTCTTCTCATTGGACACACCTCATCAAAGTGCAAACCAGATCACTAGGAGTGACTCCCTGCAACACAAGAAGGCCCCTAAAGTCGAGCTCAACTCGTCCAGTTTGAGACACGTTGATAAATTGCTACACCAGCTACTAGACGATGCAGAGATTTCGAATCCCCCAGCGTGGCAAAAGGCTCTTGTTCCCATCCTGTTGCGAGCAACAGATGACGTTGACCCAGACGTCGCTAAGGGAGAAGACATGGACATTCGACACTATGTCAAGTTGAAGAGAATTCCAGGAGGCAAGCCGGGTGACACAGCCTACATCTCTGGTGTAGTTTTCACCAAGAACCTGGCCCTCAAGAGTATGCCTCGCAGGATTACCAATCCACGAGTAATGCTTGTCACTTTTCCCATTGAGTACCAACGACATCAACAGCACTTTATGAGCTTGCAACCTGTCATCGAGCAAGAAAAAGAATTTCTACGGGTTGTGGTCCAGCGAATCACGAATCTCCGCCCTCAAGTGCTTCTCGCTGAAAAGAGCATCTCCGGTGTGGCGTTGCAGTATCTGTCCGACGCAAACATTTCAGTGGCCTACAATGTTAAGCACACGGTTATTGAAGCAGTTGCACGATGTGCTGAAACAGACATTATATCGTCTCTTGACATGTTGGCGTTGCCCGTCCAGATTGGACGCTGTGCTAGCTTCGAGGTTCGGACATTCGTGAATAATGACTACCCGGGTCGCAAAAAGTCATACATCTTCTTGTCCGGTTGTACTCCTGAGCTTGGCTGCACGATTGCGCTGAGGGGTGCCAACAGCACAGTGCTCTCAAAGGTGAAGCATATTATGGAGTTTATGGTTTATGTTGTCTACAATCTGAAGCTTGAATCGAGCCTTCTGAGAGATGAGTCGATCGAACTTCCAGAAGGCGGAGATTCCATGACAAACTCTATGCAGCTCCATGGCGATAGCGCAAGATCTATGAGTGTCAATAGCGTTGACAACTCGAGAGAGGGCCCAGCTGTTGTGGTAAATCACCCGCCAGGAGATAGCGAACCTCCCTCTCAAACAACCGCGGACAGCGCTAGTATTACTGAAACCGACGACACAGGCTCATTGAACCAG